ACCAGCAGCAGCAACAGCAACAGAAGCAGCAACAGCAGCAGCAACAGCAGCAGCAGCGGTGGCAGCAGCGGTGGCAGCATCGGCAGCAACAACAACAATGCCAAACAAAAAACTCGAAAGAGTTGCCAGCGCTGCCAACGTCTTCTAATAAAAACCGGGACGGCAACAACGAAAGCAGCAGGAAAATTGTTCAAGAAAATTCTTAAAAGAAATTAGTAAAAAAAAATGTCTTAATGCATACATACATATACATATATACATACATATATAAAAAAAAAAGCAACAAAAACAGCTGCAGCAGCAACAACAAAAAAAACTGAAACTAAAACAAACGACGACAGCGATGCGATACGATTTTCTGCCGTTAGCTTTTTATGCGGCGCACAGCGTAAAGCTCAACGTCTCGAGAGCCGCGCCATTGCAAGAGAGTGCAAGATGCGAGAGCGTCAAAACGGTATGTGAAAAAGAGAGCGCTTAAAAGTGAAGAGCGCAGCAAGAGCCGCTACTTGTCGTTCGCTGCTGCGGCTGCTGCTGCTGCTGCTGCCGGCGCTGCTGCTGCAGTGACTTCCCTAAAGACGGCAAATGCAGCGAATAAAAGTCAGAATGTCACCCGACAAATGCGTCGCAAATGATTTTGTAAGCGTAACGACATCAATGAGGAAATGTGTAAAGATTGGGATGAAATTTTTATATACATTATTTAATTTTATTATTTATTTAATTACTTTCAATTTTATTTTATTTATTATTTTTAAATAAATTTTATTTGCATATGTTAGCTGATCAATTTAAAAGTAATAAGAATTATTAGCCTGCAACTGCAAGACCTATATCTCTATATAGTTTACGCATTAAGAGATGGTGATTATAAAAAAATATATATACATACATATATGTATATAGTTTTAAGGATTTCATATATGCTTAAAATCGAATTAATTCACATCAATTTTGTTATGATGAACATAAAATAATTTGTTATGAATGCAATAGTTAATAAATATGATTTTATTATATTTATTATACATATATCAAATATTATTTATATGTAGTAAATAACTATTTATTATTAAATATTTGTTTTTAATATTAAATAAATGCTTTTGCACATTATGTTCATTTCATTTTCCACGCTTACGACACTTTTGTCGCCTTTTTTTCATACACGAAGAGAATTTTGAGCAGTAATCGCAATAATGTCGTCATCCGGATGCTTTTCTAGCTTTTTCTCAATAGAATAGAAGAATAAATTCACACAAAAAAAAACCTCTGTAGCAACAAAACAAGCGTAAACGAAGGAAAAAAACAGAGAGGGAGAGAGAGAGAGAGAGAGAGAGAAAGAAAGAGTGTCTGTTTTTCTATGTGATGGCAGAAGTGGGAAGGAGAATAACGCGGCGCAGTTAAAAAATTGCGTTGTTTATAAATCAGCCTCAATTAAAATTAACTGAAAAATGCAACGCTAATTAGATCTGCGGTCAGCACTAAGCTTGGAGCATTCAACGTCTGCGGCGATGGCGACTCCTGGATTCGAATCAGCCGACTGCAACACGCGGACAGCGAAACACGAAGCATGAAACCGGCCGGCATTTTGGGCGGGGCGGCGCGCGCGGCAACGTGATTTCTTTCAAGCACTCATACATACATATAAATTTATACATACATACATACATATTCACGTACGTACGTATGTGATTTACAATCTGCGGCATTTGTTTAATAACAATTAACAACAACGACGGCAACCGAAACAAGCCGACAAAAGTAGTGAACAGGCATGACAATAATTGCCATTTGTTGTTGCTCTTGTTGTTTTTGTTAATATCGTTGTTGTTGTTGACTTGCTGGCAGCTATATGCGATACAACAAAACACAGCACAATAACAGACAGAACAGCAACAAAAAAAGAAAAAGAATAACAACAACAATTATCTGTGAACAGCACGCGCGGCACACGTTACGTATACGCAATGCAATTCATGACTCGCCCGCTCATCATACGATAAACACCACCATAAGCAACGCGATTATCATTGGATGTCGTCATTATCATCTTCGTATTCTAACCACAAACGGCGCGTCGTCGGCATCGTTTGCCGTCGCCGATTCGTTACGTTACGTTGTCGTCCCGACGTCTAAATGAGCACTAAAACGTAACTCGACGCAGACGACGCCGGGCAACCGGCACTGACAAAAAAAAAAAAAAAAAAAGAATAATAATAAAAAAAGAATATGAAGTAAAAAAAAAACAACAAAACTATCCCTGCTGCACTCTCTGGACGCTTTTATGCTCTCGCACTCACTCATTCTCGCTCTCGCTCTCTCTGTCTCTGTCCCTCTGGCGCCTAACAGCAGTTTGTAACAGAGACGCAGCAGCCAAAGGAAGCAGAGGCAGCGACCGCAGCTTTTTGAGGGCGTCAGGGCGTCAGGACTAACGGCAGCGCATTGCGCTCTCAATTTTACGTACGTGCATGTGTGTGTGTGTGTGTGTGCGTGTCTGTGTGCGCGCGCTTCAGCATGGATGAACGAACGTCAAATAGAACATGTGCTAATGAATTATCAACTGTCGGCAAAGCGTAAACTGCAAACAGTTACGGCTGACATGGCGACGAATGGACAAGGATAAATGAATGGATGTGAGGATTATAATGAAAGACATGCACACACATACATATATGTGCATACAGCAAATATATATGTATACAAATGCAAACACATATACATACCTACATACATGCGTGTGTATGTGGGACAATCGAAACGCTAGCCTACTTAACAGAGAGGGCGTGCGAGAGGAATGAAGCGAGAGAGAGAGTGTGCGTGTGTTTGACTGCAATCAACACCAACTGAATAACAGCTTAATGGACGACTGCATGCGCTCTAAACGCAGGCACAAACGTGTCATCATGAATCAATTTTTAAACTGATTGACACCGCACATGTGTCATAAGCTTATGACTTATTGATCGAATGGCGGGGCAAATAAATTTCAAAGGGCGTGGAAAGTGTTAAAAGAATAATAATAATCGATAAATCGATGCATAAATAATTAATCAAGACCTTGGTCATAGATCAAGCGAGAGCGGCCTTTCACTATTTTTCGCTTATAAATAATCGATTTGCCTATCGATAGACAGCGATAACTAAAGCACCAAGCATTAACCTTGGGCCAATCCACTCAATAAATCATCTACAGCTGCTGAAATTTAGGCAGTGTTAACTTGGCTTTAAATGCATGGCGCATAGTTTGTCTGGTGACTATATTTATATATATATATATATGTATGCGTGTACGTGTGCGAGTGAGTGTGTGTCTGTACCAAAAGGTAAATGACATCAATGGAGGTTGGCTGACTCCGCAGTTGCCGTCGCTAGCTGCACTAACTGCTGCTGACATCGACGGCGACAGCGACTGAGGCAGCGACAGCGGCAGCGGGAGCGAATGCAGCGTGTTTACTTTTTGCTTGCATTCTTTGGTCTCTGGTCTCGGTTTCCGTTTGCTGCTTGCCTGCTTACAGTTTCCGGCTTTGGCCAACACTTTTACACACACACTAACACACTCACACACACATTCACACAGCTTCAGTTACTATGCGCGCGCCTAAATATATGCACCGTTTTTTTTTTCATTACATTTTCAAGCAGCCATCTCCAAGCACTGCAGATGTGCACTGCCCATGGCAACTAACACAGACACACAAAACGCTCACACACACACACACACACATTCGTATACCCCTTGAAGTTTGTGAAGCTTTGGCAAGGCTCTTTAATAACTAATCAGAGCCAAAAAGTGGGCATCGCCTGGCGGGCAATCGGGCCAAGTTCTGCGTTGTGTTGAAAACTTTTTGGAAACACCAGAAATTGCCGCTCATTGTTTGCTGATAACTGAAATCAATGCAGGCGTGGCATGTGGGGCGTGGCAAGACAATGTTCAAGTTTTTGGCCCTTTGCCAACTGAAAACTGTGAATGCCATTTGTTGTCGAAAGCCAAATGCTCTCTATTTCTAGTACTATTTGCCATCGAGCTTAGCCTGAAGCGTTTATTGACAAAATACGGCCAAAAGAGATAGAAGATGAGCGAGCGTATGGTATTTAGTTTGGTGACAATTGACAATGAGCACATAGATAAGTAAATATATACATATAGCTGAACATATTTATATATATCAGGCTAACAGGGCTAGAGAAACAAAATGGAATTCGAACAGTTATAAACTATACAAACATATATTATCCTAAAAAGTATTACTGATTTTCCTATACATTCAGCGAAATATATGTACTAATAGCATGTGAAACAAAGTGGAAATAGAACACATATACATACATAAGCTGATATAGCTATAATGTGTATACATCTTATAGTAGTCAATTGCATAAAACAGCATCTCGATTAACTTGGGTGGAATGAAATGGAAATGGAACAACTTCAAAAGTATATATGTATAATACAAACATGTATTATAAGCAACTTGAAAATTCCGACTACCATTTTAAATGTGTTTATTGTTGTTGTATTCTTGTGGAACAAATTGAAAATGGCACAGATTTTAAGCATCGTATACATAGAGCTGCTTTTTACATAGTATAAAGATTTAATATTCCACAAATACATAAAGAACGACATCCGCAGATTGTGTGCAACAAAGTGGAAATGGAACACACATCAAGTAAATCATTTCTGAATAGTATTGACACGATTTAACCATTTCATATGAAACAAATTGGAAATGGAACACACTCGAAATATTTACACGTACATATGTAGTTGTATGCGTATTAGCCCACAGTCGAATAGTTTCATCTTGGTATTGCATATAGTTCGTACGTCTGCATACTTTTGATACCCTTCCCTTGTTAACGAATATAACAAAAGGCGAAATTTGAAATTGATTTTTTTGTATTTTTGTTTTTTTTTTTTTTTCGGGGGGTTTTTTGGCCAACCATGGATAAAGTTTTGTATGTGGAAAATATTGGTCGCTTTGTAGCTGGGGACTTACCGCTGGGATCATGATGCGGGGGCGGCTGCTGTTGGTGCTGCTGATGATGATGATGGGGATTGGGCGCACAGAAGGCGCTCGAGCCGCCGCCCAGTGTCGGTGGCACTCCGGCGGGCGGCGGCGGCGGATATGCACTCGCCCGATACGAGGGCGGCGGTGAGCCAACGTCACAGCGGTCCGGCGGCACGGCCGGCGGACCCACCTGCGGCGGCGGCGGCAATGGACCGTAATGCCCCTGGGGCGGCGGTCCGCCGTAGTGATGAGGCGGCGGCGGTGGCGGACCGCCATGATACTCGGCCGCCTGCTGGTAGTGATGAGCGTGCGCCGCATGCGCTGCATGGGCGGCCGCGTACTGATGCTGATGGTGCATGTGCAGCACGCCGCTGCCCGCGGGCGCCAGCTGGTGGGCGTGGTAGGCGGCAGCGGCAGCGGCCGCAGCAGCCGCAGCGGCTGCATACGACGGCGGCGGCGGTCCATGATGATCCGGCGGCATGTGCTCCGTATGCAGGCCCAGATCCGGGGCATGGTACATGCCCGCACTGAGCGGCTCGCCGGGCAGCAGGACATGCGGTGCCGGCGCCTGCACTGGCAACGGCGGCGAGCTGTGAGCTGCGGAAGGATATAGATAGGGGATAGATAGATATAGTAAGTAGAGCATAGATATGATCAATCATGTTATCAATGATCAGAGGATAAAAATCAGCTTGGACTGAAGCTTCCAATGCGGCATATTAATAAGCGATCTGGCATCTCTGTCAGAAGATATAAGGGATGAGGGAGATGGGTCCGTCGAATATGGACAGCCCTGTACATATATGTATGTATTTATATATATTATCAATGGGTATTATCTGCGGATATCAGATATATACATATACTACCAACAGGTCTAATGATGTGCGAGGATTATGATTATGGGATTCAGTCAATGGGGCTTCCGCTCTATAAGGCAATATCAATAGGCTGATTAGTTAATATCAACTAAAAGTGACTGTATTTAACCGGATAGAACTACAGTGAACTCAGTCCTAAAATACTCCTCTATCTATATATCTATCCATCTACTATATATGTGTGGAATCTTTCTAGACACCTTCATCCTATATGCTATACTTATACAGATATACATATATACCAGATCTTGTTTTGATCTCGTTTTTGGCTAGAGAAAGTTTTAGATCTTTCTGGATGTCAAAATTGCAAATGAATTAGTTTTATTTATTTTTAATACCCTGAACCCATTGAACATGGGAAATCTCGAAATGAAATGTAACTGGCAGAAGGCGGCTCGGCAGACCCCATAAAATGTATATATTTTTGATCTGGGCGATAAGCCGAATAGATCTAGCCATATCTATTGCTCTGTCTGACTGTCCTTTCGTTCGTCTGTCTGACTTTTCGTTCCATCGCTCGTTCGTTCTTCCGTCCGCCCGCTCGTTCGTCGCGTCGATCTCAGAAGATATAAGAACTAGATACTTGATATTAATTTTGTAGGTCTGTATATACAACACACATATAGAGTTTATTTCAAAGAATCGATTACTACTCCTGTTATTTTGCTAGCGATTAAAACCAGCATCGAAAATTAGTTAAAAAATTATATCTCCTGCATTTTTAGAGCTAGAGATTCCTTATTTCAAATATAGACTCGTGTGAAATTTATAGAATTTTGAATTTTGCTATAAAGGACATTGGCTCCACAGGGCATAAAGGAGAACCAATCAATCGAATTAATCATCCAGATTATGAAGATATTGTCAGGAGTTGTACTCACCCTCGCTGAGTCCGGAACTGGCGCCCGGCGGCAGCATGCTGGAGAGTGCGCTGAGCGGCGTATAGGATTTGGGTGGCTCCACGGAGCCGGGTCGCAGCAGACGCTCCTCGGTGACGCTGGACTGAACACGATATTGCATTTTGCAGTAGGCCTCCTGGGCGGCGCCGTTGCTGGCATTCACATAGACGCCGGTGATGGTGACGTCCGTGTCCTGGACGATGACCACACTGGATGAGGTCGGACGGCTGCAGTCCTTGGCATCCTTGGCGCTGCTCGAGTCGCCGCGATACCCAGTCGTTGTGATGGTGGTATCCGTATTCGTTTCCTTCGTCTCCTTGGAGTACTTGGAATCGTTGCTCTCCTCGATCATGTTGCTCTGCGGCTTGTTGCTCAGCGCCGCATCCTTCAGCTCCTTCAGCTCTTTGGCCTCCTTCGATTCGCGCGTTTCCTTCGGCTCCTTTGGCTCCTTCTTGATGTGCAGCACCTCGGCCTGCTGTGCTTGCGCTGCCTTCGACGCATTCGATTTGCTGGACGACGATGCTGACGCGGATGCCGATGCGGATGCTGATGCGGATGTCTTTGTCACCGTCGGCTTGCTAATCTCCAGCTCGTCGTAGCTCTCGAAGCTGCTGCAATCGCTGGCCAAATTCTTATCCAAGTGCCGCTCCACCTCGTACGTGGCCGCCACAATCGCGCTGGCATTCAGGCTGGCCATGCGCTTGCGCGCCAATATACCCTTGTAGTCGCCAATCAGCTCCTCGTGGAAGGCGCTTTTCCGCTTCTTGGGCAGCTGCTTGGGCGGCGGCTTCGATTTCTCCTTGTCCTTGTCTTTGTCTTTGTCCTTGGACTTACTCTTGTCGTCATCCCTCTCCTTGTCTTTCTCCTTGTCCTTGTCCTTGTCCTCGTCTGCATCGTCGCTGTCCTCCAGCTGAACCCTTTTGTTCGCCTTCTTCTTCGACTCTGTGTCGTTGGGCTTCTTGGCGGGCGCTTTCTTCTGCAGCTTCTTCTTCTTCTGCTGCTGGAAACGCTGCAGCTGCAGCTCCTCCGCCTCGCTGTCGCTATCGAGCTCCCAGTGCTTGCCCACGCCACGGCCACCCGTCACATGGCGCAGCTCTCGCCGTGGCTCCACCACAGCCACATTGGCCTTCTCCGCATCGCCCTTATCCCGATCCTTGCCCTTATCCTTATCCTTATCCTTGTCTCGATCGCGATCTCTGTCCTTGTCCTTGTCCTTGTCCTTGTCCTTATCCTTATCCTTGTCCGGCGGCAAATCGCCTCGATTGTTGTCATCATCGCTGCCGTCCAGCGTCCGTATGCGCGGCGGCTGCTGCGTCGCCTTCGACAGGCCCAGCTCGTGGGCCGTGCGCGACTCGTTCTCGTAGAGGCACTGCACCTTGGCCAGCGCATTCAGCGAGGCCATGCGATGCCGCTTCGCCCCGTAGCTGCTTAGCTTCTTCTCGTCCTCCGAGTCGCTGCTCTCCGAGCGGGAGCTCTCGCTGGCCGCTGCCGGCGGCGTTGGCTGCTTCGCTTTTCCGCCCGCTGGCTTCTTTTTACCAGCAGCAGCTGTTGCTGTTGTAGCGGCTGCTGTCGTCGTTGCAGCAGTTGTTGTTGCTGCTGCTGCTGCTGCTGCTGCCGGCGCTGGCGTGGGCGTATTTGGCTTACGTTTAATCTGCTTCTTATTGCCGCCCTTGGCAGCGCTGGGCAGCGGCTCAGGCGGCGCCTCCACAGCTGCAACAGTTGCTGCCGCTGCGGCAACAGTTGCCGTCGTCTGCTCCGCCGTCTCCTTCAACTCCTTCACCTCCTTGGCCTCCCTGGCCTCCTTGGCCTCCCTGGCCAGCAGCCGTTGCTCGAGCTGCTTCAGCGGCTTGTTGTCCTCGTCGGAGAAGTCGCGCAGCTCCTTCAGCGTTGGCAGCACCATTTTGATCGGCTCCTCGTCCTCCGATCCCGACTTGAAGTCATAAATATCCTTCGCCGCGTTCAGGCTAGCGAGCGCCGTTTTGCTGCAGGCCTGCTGCAGTCGCGCCTTGCTCGCCGATGTTTTACTGTACTTGATTTTGGGCCGCTGCTTGGCCGGCGCCGCTGTGGCCGCTGCTGCGCTGCCGGCGACGATGCTGCTGCCCGTGGGCGTTGACTCAATGGGCGTGGATGCGGGTACGGATGCGGATGCGGGTGTGGGTGTGCGCGTGGGTGTGGGCGTTGGCGTCGGCGTCGGCGTGGGCGTGGGCGTGGGTGTGGCTGCGGGTGTGGGTGTGGGTGTAGCTGCCGGCGTGGGCGTATGGGCTGGCGTGGGCGTGGCTGCCGTTAGAGGCGTCTGGGTGGTATTGATCTCCTCCAGCTCCATCTGCACCAGCTCCGTATTGGAGTCCAGCTGGGTGCGTGTCTTTGCTTTACTGGACTCGGTTTCACCTGGAGTTGTTGTTGTTGTTGCAGCAGTTGTTGTTGCTGCAGCTGCTTGCAACTTTTTGCCACCCCTGGCCACAGCTGCTGCAGCGCGCAGCTTCTCCTTTTTCGCTGCCGGCGTCTCGGCCGCCTGCGACGTTGGCGTCTGTTGCTGTTTCTTGGGCGCCGCCTTTGATCCCTTGCTGCCGCTGGTCGGCGGCTCCAGCTTGGCCTTCTTGGACAACTGTTTGGCGCCCTTGGCGCCGGGAGATTCTTTGCTATCGCAATGAGCATCCTTTGGCTCACCTAATACTGCCTCCGGTTCCTTGGACTTTTCCTTTTCCTTTTCCTTCTCTCTTTCCTTTTCTCGCTCCTTTTCCCTTTCGCGCTCCCTCTCCTTCTCCCTTTCGCGCTCCCTCTCCGCTCGACTCGACTCGTTGTCCACCCGCTGGCGCTTCACATTGAACGGCTTGCCCGGATTCAGGCTGGCTATCACCTTGACCGCCGCCGCCCGCGATTTCGTCTTCACGTTCTCCGATATGGAAGACTTGAGGCCCTCGCCTATGCGCTCCTCGCCGCTGGGCAACAGATTGTCAAAGCCATGGATCTTGATGTCCAGACTCTTCAGCATCTTGTTTATGGCTCGCGCCTTCCCATCCTCCTGCCGCTCCTCTGCGGACAGTTTCAGCGTCGTCGAGCTGCTGGCCTTATCAGCAGCCGTTGTTGTTGTCGATGTTGTTGTTGCAGCAGCAACTGTTGCTGCTGCTGCTGCTGCTGCTGCTGCTGCTGGTGTTGTTGTTGTTATTGCACTTAATGCCGTTGACTGCTGCTGCTGTCGCTTTGCTGCTGCTGCTGACGTTGTTGCTGCTGTTGTTGTTGTTGTTGCTGCTGCTGCTGCCTCGGCTTTGCTACTCTTTTTATCATCCGGTTCGTCCATTAGCTTCTGCTGCTTGCCAATGCTGCGCTTCTTTACCGTCGACGTCGCTGCCGTTGACGTCGCTGCCGACGTCGCAGCGGCAGCAGCATTTGTGGCGCGCTGCTGGCGTTCAGCGACGCTGGAACGCTTCTTCGGACCCATTTCCTATGCGCTGCCCCAGAGCAAGAGACTGGTGTGTGAAAGGAAGAGAGTAAAACAAACAGAGAAAGAGAGAGTGAGAGAGAAGATTATGAATGTGAATGAAGAAGAAATGCGCGAGAGAAAGCTTCAATTTATATGTTAAGCGTAATTATAATATTATATATGAAATACTCGAGTCTAAGTAAGATATTGATAGAAAAAAATATATATATTTAATTTTATAATTTAATTTGATATTTTATATATTTATGTTTATATATATATTTGTATTTTTATTTATTTATTTTTATTTTCACTTATTTATTTTTTTTATTATTGTTTTTATTTTTATTCATTTATTTTGATTTATTTTATTTATTTATTTATATATTTTTTCTTTTTCGTCTTTCATAAAGGTAATCAATTTAATATTTACATATTTATATATTTTTGTATTTTTCGTATTCAAATTAACTGCAGTACGAAAACTGTCTAGCTACACTGTATACTAAAACTTTTGACATGCGCTTTCAAATTATTTTTTTTTTTTACCGAGCTCGAGAATATTTGAGGCAGCCAACAAGTGGATTATTTTATATATTTAAAAAATATAAATATTTGATATGAATTTTAAACGATTAATGATTTGAAATTAATTTGTATAATTTGAGTAAGTCTAAAACTTAAGGAAGGACGGACCTAGAGACAGACTAGAAATGCTTATACAAGTTAAGATTATCTAAGGATGCTGGAATTTCCATTCGGACATTCAAGAAGGGAACAGAACTTGTGAGCCTATGATAGAGGCACTATATAGCACAGTTTAATTATCTTTTTTTTTTAAGTGTCTGTGGAAATGATACCAAAAATTATGAATATAAACTTTTATGGAATCTTCAGTTTTAAGCAATCAATCATACTCAAAACAATCAATCATAGTCAGTCGGACACACTTTGCATAAAACTAATATGCTCTCTTCAATTGCTGAACGAGTATCAAAATACATACATAAAAAGGGTTTATCAGGCTATCAGGCTTATTATTTTCTATCCTGATCTACATCAAGCAACAATCAGTGCTCAGCAATCACAGTAGATCTTTACCTTCCATTCTTAGACTTACATAAGATACATACATACATACATGTGTATGTCTGATGGAGCATTCCCATTTTCTACTAGCCCAAAGGAAACAGCTGATTACGTTACGTTAATTACGTTCCGCCCACTTTTCTCATTTTTCCCCATTTTTTTTTTTTTGTTTGGTTCAAGTGTCAGCGCGTGACAAACAATGAAAATGTTAGTTGAAGTCGGCAAGCTTCCAAGCTAAAACGAGATTTCAACGACATTTTAACAAAGGACTCTTCCAGTAAGAAATTCAGATACTTCTTTTTTGCTTTTATTAAAATTTTAAATTGATTTTAAGTGAATAATAGCGTATATGATAGTACTATATTATGCTACATATCATATACAATATATACGATATATGATATTACTATATTAAATATACTACATATGTAAAATATAAACTTTTTTTTATACCCTGAACCCATTGAAAATGGGAATTCAGGGTATAATGGTTTTGTGAAAAGTATGTAACAGGCAGAAGGAATCATCGCAGACCCCATAAAGTATATATATTCTTGATCAGGACGACGAGCTGAGTCGATATAGCCCTGTCCGTCTGTCCGTCCGTCCGTCCGTCCGTCCCTCCGTCCGTCCGTCCGTCCGTCCGTCCGTCCGTCCGTATGAGCAAATGGATCTCAGAAGATATAAGAGCTAGAGAGCTGAAATTTGGCATGCATACTCGTGTATACCATAGGCAGTACGAGTTTGCTTTATTTTTTCGATAACTCATCCGATAACTTTTTTATCGAGAATAATCGAAAAATCGACTTGGTTTTTTCAGCCTACTTTGAACACTTTTAAACCTGGAGACTTCAAATTTGCGTTGTGTATAAAGTTATTGGACACAAAGATTTTGTAATTTACAGATTTTTGATACCACGCCCCCTTCGCCCCCAATTTGTAAAAAACGCATTTAAAGTACTAGAGACTTGTGCTTTGGAATGTACACACATTTTAGCCATATGATTACGCTCTGAAAGTTTCATTAGGATTGTATGTCTACAAAAGAAATTATTCAACAAATAAATTGTCATAATATTGCCCACATTGCAGCGCAGCCCAAGCGCAGTTGCTGCTAACTGCGCAGTCAGCAGAGCGCTTATAAGTGCATGTGTATGTATGTGTACATAGAAGAAGTGCACAATGATTAGAATATCAGCTTGGAGGGTTCAGGGTATCTCCTAGTCGAGCAGTCTCGACTGGAGCCTTCTTACTTGTTTTTTTTTTTTTTTAATAAAATTGATTTTTTATTAAATAAATCTCTATAAAATTCCTAATTGATTAAAATTTGATTTAAGCCAAAAAAAAAAAATTATGTATTTTATTTTATTGGTATTACACTTTATAATATTACAATGCATTGTAATTTAAAAATTAAAAAATATATATATAAATACATGTTATATATAAAGTATATGTACATATATGTATGTGTACTACTGTTTTCATGAACACTTTTATATAAAAGTATATGCTGTATATACAGCACTACATACATATATACATATACATACATACATTCCTAATCATCTAAATAATGCCTTTCTACTTGATACGTAGTATATCTTAGCCTAACATTAAGATAAGCATCGTTTAGAAGATAGCAGAATCTAAATGAATGTATTTAATGTAATGCAAATAATACCTGTTAATCTAATTAACACCTGTTTTACTAGTAGCTCCTCATAATGCCTTAATAATACTACATTATAGTAAGCAGATAATTTTGGATTTGGCTTTCAGGCAATTGCGCTGGCTTAAGTTGGATCTCTCTTCACCTAACACACACACACACAGACACATTTGACATCGATGTGCGCGTGTGTGTGTATGTGTGTAAGCCTGCAAGTCAAGCTCTAAAGTTACAGTTACATGCAGAGATATTTACCTTAAGCTCTCGCTCGCTTGCACTCGCGCCTTCCTTGCGGTTGGCTGGCGGGCGGGCGGGCGCGCGCGCTCTCTTTCTCACTCCGTCTCTATCGCACTCAGTGTTTGTTTGTTTATAGTTTTTTTTTTTTTTGCGTGTAATATTTTTTGTTGTTTTCGTTTTAGGTAAGCTGGGAATACCAGTAACAGTTTAAGCCAAAACCATTTCTAGGCATTGGCAGCAGCAGCGCCATTTGCTTGATGAGCCGCTTAGGCGTTGGCGCTGTGCTCTTGCAATTTATGAATTTGTTAACTTTAAATAATTGTTTTTGTTTTTATTATTTTGATTTGATACTCTTTTGATTGTGATTGTTCTCAGTGATCTTGCATTTTGATGGCCTATAAAATATGCAACACTTTTTTTGTTAGTAACTAGACATAAACGAACACGTTTATTTATTTTATTCAAAAAAGATTTTGTCATAATTTATGCATTACAACGACGACGGCGACGGCAGCAGCGGCTGTTGCAAGCGTTTTATGCAAATGCGCCAACACTCACGTACACACAATTACACATTCACAGATACCCACAGCCACACGCACAAACGAAATCTCTCTCACACACACGCACACATATGCAAGTAAGTTAAAAAGTTACAAGATATTTGTTTACGCTCGCTCAATTGAGACGATATGGCAACACTGTGCGCGTAGTTTGCTCACGTATACATACACAGACACATATACAGACACATTGTGGGCATTGGGCACATTGCTAAAACATCAACAAAAGAAAAAAAAATGAAATTAACGCAACCAACAAAACAGACGCACGCACACATACACTCAACTATGAAGATACACACTGGAGTGCTATTAGCCGAGCTCTATTAAAAACTCTCAGTTATTTTATCTCATTTATAAATTGTAGGAATTTAGATTTGTATTTTCAAGCAAATTTACAGCAACAACAGAAACAAACAGACACACACACACAGCCATATACACATATGTACACAATACGAGCATTGGGGCGAACGCCCGCCCGCTTGCGTACACAATTTAATGATGCAGAAGAACTCTCTTATTGGAAGTAAATTGCCTTGCAGAGTAGTTATATGCATTTCTTGTTAATTGCATTTACACATTCAGAATTCAATAAACTAGAAAAAAAAAACAACAAAAATATTTAAGAATAACAGCAGCAGCTGCCGTTGCCAAAGCACACGCACACGCAGCGAAAAAATTTTTTAACGCGGACGCTCGACACACACGCTCACGAGCATCTTATCAGACTGGCGCTCTCTTTAGCGATGGCTAAACACAGCGATACATCGCTAACCATTTGGGATGTTGTCAAAGCCAGTGATAGCAATGCACGCCTATCGATAGCGCATTTTCACCATACAGTCAACTGCACGGAAATAACTGTTAACTGTATTATCGAACAGTCCAGGTTTTTTTTTTTTAAATAAATTTAAGGACAAATTATAGAAAAAAAATATTTATTAATTTAATTTAATGCTAAATCGGCATTATTGATCACATTATTTATATTAAATGTTTTTAAACAAGTGATTGTTGATTTAAATACAGTATTTGTGTAAAACGACAAATCATGAAATATAGATATAAGCTCAACATGTTCTACAAAAACAAATGT